GGCTGAAGGGTTCTGGGGAAAACGAGGGCCCCAGTTTTCTGGTAAATGGCAGAGGGGAAGGAGTGTGAATGGGATTGTATCTTAAAAAGGGAAGTTGAAATTTTGCAGAGGTTTAGCTAGGCTTTCTGTCTGGGTCCCAGTCACAACTACTGCCAAGTCTTAGAATGAATGAAGAAGGGATCCCATGTGTTTTCTGACTTGGAAAATCTTTCTTACCAAGTTATAGAAATGCCACCCTCAGAACCTCAGAGCCTTGAGTTCTCAGCCACCCAGGCCGCCACTGGGCTCACCCACGTCTGGTCCCTGTGCTGGGCTGGAGGCCTGGGGACACCAGGGCAATGGAGGGGGCCTGGCCTTGGCCTGTCCAAGGATGCAGGTGGTGGGGACGCAGAGGCTGGGACAGGTGCTGATGGTAAGCAGAGGAAAGTTCAGATGGGTCTCCTGTTTTTTAGGGGACAGCTTATTAATATTTTTAGGACCTCAGATAACGCTGGATGGATCTCCGGGGGTTAATTTCGGAGTTACTGAGCCTAGCTCTCTCCTGGGGCTGTTTAGCCCAGCTACCCTGGGCTCAGGTCGGGTCCGCTGCACTCCCCGGCGTGGCCCTCTCTGTCCCCATCTGTGCCTCCCACCCCACGTCATCACTCTGAAGTCCTCCTTTCCATCCACTTAGCCTGTGCTCCCTGTGGGAGCAGTTGGCAGGTGCTGCCTGAATCCTGGTCCAGGTTGGGGCTGGCGTGGGTGGGACGACTGCTCCTCCTAGGAAGGGTGGGGGCCTCCTGGGTGCTCGGAGAGGTGTCCGTTAGAGCAGGCGGGGGGCTGTGTTTCCCAAAAGGTGTCGGGAAAATGGGACTGCCGCCTGGGTCTCCACATGAATCGCTGGCCGCCATTTCAGTTTACCTGGAGTGGCTGCACAGGTTTGCATTCTCACCAGCAGTGAGTGACAGTTCAGTTGCTCCACGTTGTCGCCAGCATTTGGTAGTGTTGGTGTTTTGGATTTCGGCCATGCCGATAGGAATGTGGTGGTATCTCGTAGTTTTCATATGCATTTCTCTGATGATGTGTGACGTGGAGCATCTCTTCATGTACTTATTTGTTATCAGTGTGTCTTCCTTGGTGAGGTGTCTGTTCAGGTCTTTGGTCCTTTTTTTTAATGATATTTTTTATCTTTCAGTTATAGTTGGCATATAATGTTACATTGGTTTCAGGTGCACAACAGTGATCGGACATCTGTATAACTCACAGAGTGATCACCCCAGTAAACCTCGTGCTCCTCTGACACTGTACTTAGTTATTACAATATCATTGGCTATGTTCGTTACGTTCGACTTTCTGTTTCCGTGACTGTTTGGTAACTACCTAACTACCAATTTGTACTTTTTAATTCCTTTCCCGTTTCTCACCAATCCCCCCTAATCCCCCTCTCTTCTGGTAACCCTCCACATGTTCTTTGTATCTATGAGTTTTTTTCTGTTTTGTTGTTGTTGTTGTTGTTTTGGTCTTTAGCGTCTACGTGGGCACGAAATCATGCCATTTCTCTTCTCTGTCTGACCGACTCCACTCGGCGCCAGTACCCGCTAGGTCCGTCGTGACATATCTTTTTCCATCTTTTTATTTTCCGTCTGTGTGTGTGTCTTTTAATCTGAAGTGAGTCTGTTGTAGGCAGCATCTGTAGGGGTCTTGTTTTCTTATCCATTCAGCCACCCCATCTTTTGGTTGGAGCACTTAGTTCTTTTTCCTTTGAAGTACTTGTCGATAGATATGTAGTTATTGCTGTTCTATTGCCTTCTTTTTGATACGTATTTTTTCCTTCTTAAAGAAGACCTTCCAGCGTTTCCTGTAATACTGGCTGGGTGGTGATGAACTGTGTTAGCGTTTTCTTACGAAGCTCTTTATCTTGATCTGTCCTTCCATTCTAAATGATGGCTTTGCTGAGTAGAGTAATCTTGGTTGTAGGTTCTGGGTTTTTATTATTTTAAATATATCCTGCCAATCCCTTCTGGCCTGCAAAGTTTCTGTTGAGAAATCAGCTTGTCATTCTTATGGGTGCTCCCTTGTCGGTAACTAACCGCTTTTCTCTTGAAGCTTTTAAGATTCTCTCTTTACATTTAACCTTTGGCATTTTAGTTGTGATGTGTCTTCGTGTGGGCCTCTTTGGGGTCTTCTTGTTTGGGACTCTGCACTTCCTGGGCTCGTATGTCCATTTCCTTCACCAGGTTAGGGAAGTTTTCAGTCATTATTTCTTCAAATAGGTTTTCATTTTCTTGCTCTGTTCTCCTTCTGGTAACCCTTTGATGTGACTATTGTTATGCTCGATGTTGTCCCAGAGGCTCCTTAAACTATCCTCATTTTAAAAATTATTTTGTTATTGTTGTTGCTATTCTAATTGGGTGTCCTCTGCTACCCCGTCCTTTATATTGGTGATTCGATCCTCCACTTCCTCCACTCCGTTGATTCCCTCTAATATACTCTTCATCTCAGATATTGTATTCTCCATTTCGTCCATGCTTTCCATTTCCATTTTTATGTTTTCTCTCTTTGCTAAAGTTCTCGCTGAGTTCGTCTACTCTTCCCCTAAGTTCATTGAGCATCTTTATAACCCGTGTTTTGAACTCTGCATCTGATAGACTGTCTCCATTTTGTTGAGTTCTTTTTCTGGAGCTTTGTTCTGTTCCTTCAAGTGGGACGTGCTTCTTTGTCTCTCCGTTTTGGCTGCCTCCCTGTGTCTGTTTCTATGTATTAGGTAGGGCTCCTAAGTCTCTCGGTCTTAATAGAGTGACTTTATATAGTAAGTGTCCCGTGGGGCCCAGCTGCAGGTCAAGTTCAGCCGCAGCCTGTGCACTTTTCGGGCCACCTGGTAAGAGTCACCAGGCAATCCACCCGTGCTGGGCTTAGAGGTGCCTCAAGGGGCCAAGCCAGGAACCGAGGCTGGCTGCTGCCAGTGCGGGCCTAGGGGCTGCTCAACGAGAGGTACGGGGCCCGCGGAGGCCAGACGCTGCTGCTTTGGGTTTTGTGAGCCTTTGAGAGATTCTAGGGAAGTTTGCAGCAGGATCCAAGACAGGCCATTTATATGGAATAAACTGCTGGAGGCAGCTTGAGCAGGCCCGCAAGCTGGGAGAGGCATGGCCTCAGGGAATCCCCGGGTAGACTGACCTGTGTCATCCAGGTTGATGGCGACTCAGGTATGGCGGTGCCTGCGTCTGCACACAGGGAGCAGGGAAGGCTCAACTGAGGAACAGTGGATACTGCCAGCACTTCCGTCTGGGAGAGAGCCACCTCTCCAGCCCTCACCCTGAGGCCTGACAATTCAGTGTCTCGCGTGTCCCTGTCGCTCAGAGCGAGCGAGTCCGTCAGCAGTGAGGCCGGGGGCGGGCCCTCGATGAGGTCCGCCTGCGACTCCCACGCCCTCCTCTCACTCAGCGGCAGCCTCCACGGGTCGTTGCAGCCAGAGGTCATGGAACCCTGGGCTGGGGAGCCCGGCGTGGGGCCGGGACCCCTCGCTCCTCAGGTTGGGGACGTGGCTCTGCAGCCAAGGAGGCCCTCCCGATTCTCAGTCACCACACGCCATTGTGAGACCGGACCATTTTGTACATCCATCCCTCCCATTGGTTTGAGGCGACCTTGTTTTTGTCCCTAGTTGTAGGGCTTCTGTTCAGGCAGACCTCAGGCGAAGCCGCGTGCTGGGTGCTGTGTAGTGTCGTCGTAACTTGGTGTGGTCACGAGAGGAGGCGGGCCTGGCATCCGCCCCCGACCCCGTCTTGAGGGGTCTCCTCCTCCGGCCCATTTTTAAGTGGGTGGTTTGTTTCCTTATTGTTGGGTTTTAAGAGTTCTGCCTACGTTTTGGATGACCGTCCTTTATCAGACGAGTCTTTGGCAAATGTTTTCTCCTCGTCTGTTGCTTGGCTTCTCATTCTTTTGAGGTCCTTGTGTTATTCTCAAATAAGAATTTAAATATTACAGGCTTGTCCCCTGAGAGCGTCTGGGTTTGCCCTCGGGTGCCGCCCTTGGGGTGTCGTGACGGCCCCGCCAGGGTCTCCGCTGCCCAGCCCGGGCTCAGCTCCAATTCCGGCAGAGGATTTGGGGCTTCGGTGCCCTGAGTTTGCTGTGCCAGACCTAGTGCAACAGTTTCTTTTCACAATGGGGAAACTGAGGCCCAGAGCAAAGAAACGACTTGTCCTGCTCACAGGACGAGTTCTTGTCCGGCTCAGGCTAGATGCTGGGTCCTCTGCCTGTCACCGCATCATAGATGCGTGGGTGGGACGGTGAGGTGATTCGACAGGGGTTTAGGGAAATGACCTGGTTCTGACGTTCCCTGACCTTGATAGCTGCTCGCAGCCCGTGTTCTGGGCTCCTGCCAGGGCCCGCCTTGAAGGAAAGTCACTGGTCGTGCCATGTCAGGGGCATGTGATGTGAACAGGAGTGGGAGACGGGGCGAGATGGGGCGGGAGGGAACACGGACATGCCCCCGCGTCTCGGCAAGCTTGGAGGGTCCTCCGGGGACTGCAGGGTGATTAAAATGGGTTTCGTGAGCTCTTGTGACAAGGTAGGTGAGGGGTCCAGCCTTGCTTGCCGGGTTCTGAGAACCGTCTCTGTCTCCTTTGTGGGAAGGCACCGGAAGGGCTGGCCCCACGCGCCACTCTTCCCTTGTCGCTGACCCTGAGGCACGTTAATTATCCCTAACCAAACCTCGGTTCCCACTGCCCGCAGTCCGTGCACAGCTCAGTGGGGAATCCAGAGAAAGCCCCGGCCGGCGGCCTGGCGCGGGGAGGCTGTGGGCATCCACGGGTATGAGCAGCCCGGGCCGGGTCCCTGGTATGGGGTGGGTGAGGCTCTGCAGAGGGCAGGTTCGGGGCTGATGGCTGGCTCTGGGGCCCTCGGGGGTCACGTCACAGCCCAGGGCTCAGAGGGGACAGCGCTCCCTGTCTTCCCGGCCGTGCAGGGGGTGGGGCCCGGCGTTCTGGAGATAGCAGCCTGCTGACCATGCGCCTGCTGCCCCGCAGGATGTGGCCCAGTGGAACATCGGGAACCTGCGGACCATCCTGGACATGGTGGAGCGTGAATGCGGCACCATCATCGAGGGCGTCAACACCCCCTACCTGTACTTTGGCATGTGGAAGACCACCTTCGCCTGGCACACGGAGGACATGGACCTGTACAGCATCAACTACCTGCACTTCGGGGAGCCCAAGTCATGGTGAGCGCCCAGCAGCCCCGCCGCTTCGGGACGAGGCGGGCCCTCCGTGCCGGGGCCCTGGGCGGGACAGTGGGGTGGCTCCTCTGGGGGCAGGCGGAGCGGGGGTGCCTCCCGAATGGCAGCGCGGGCCGCAGTCAGGGCTCTGGCAGCTCGAGTTCTGCTGGCACTGCCCCCACCAGGGATGAGGGATGCGTGCCCCCGGAAGTGGGCTTCCCGACGCCCGGAGCATGTGGTTTGGGCGCCCACAGCGAGCAGCGGCTGGCGCGGGCCCCCTCACCACCTCCTTGGCTGTGGCACTGGGAGCTCTTGAGAACTCAGGCCTGGGGACGGGGTGATCCTGGGCACTGAGGCTCCCCTTGCCTCCCGTTTGGCCTCTGGGTTGGGGGGATTAACAGTAGGCTCCTGCTGCCTAGGGGTCCCCTGCTGGTTTGTGGGTGAGGAGCCGGGATGGGCCAGCTGGCCCAAAGGCCAGCCCTCGAGTGCTGGGCCCTGCCCGCCAGGTGGGGTGATCCGTGCGTCCCGTGTTCCGGAGTCTGAGCTGAGCGCCTCGCGCACCCGCCTGCTGGCGGGCCTGGCGGCAGCTGCCTCCACTTACTGCTGCCCGCAGAGACTTCTGAGCCAGGACCTCTCATCCGCCGGCCTCTCCTCAGTTGTCTTAGAATGTTCTGCTGTCGCAGTAATCATAACAGCGCAGAGGGGCAGGAGAGAAGCAGGAGACGGGGCCCGGTAGGAGACTGTGGTGCTTAGGTCCTCAGCCGAGCAAACTCGGGGCAGTGAGGGGCAAGGGGACACAGCACAGCCGGGCACCCAGGCAGACCCTGGCCCAGGAGCCCCTACCTTGGTGTTCTAGCTGAGCTGACTTCCTCAGGCGCGGAGGGGCCACCGTGCCCCCTTTAAGTCCCTGGGGCCTCCTGAAGGCCTTTGCTGAGGGGGCGGGAGCAGCTGCTCTAAGCAGAGGCCCCGGAGCCAGGAGGAGGCCGAGGCGAGGCTCCGTGTCCTGCTCTCGGCCGTGCGACCCTGCTGTCCTCACCTCTGATGTGGAAAAAACAGGCCGGAAGGATGGGAGAGTGTTGTGGGCCGGGGCAGGGCGTTCGTGTGTGTCCGATGCCCGCTGCAGCAAATGGTCACAGGCCTAGTGGCCTAACACGTGCATTTATTTTTTCACGTCTGGAGGTCAGAAGCCTGACCCGTGTTCACGGGGCTGCACCCAGTGGGGCTGGGCCATCCCGAGGCTCCCGGGAGAGCCGTCTCCCGTCCTTTCCCATGTCCCTGGCGCGTGGCCCCTGCCCCCTCGTCACAGCCGGCAGGCGGCCTCGTCCATGTCTCTGACTGACGCTTACACCTCCTGTGAGGACACTGGGCCCCTCGGGAATCCAGGGTCGTCCCCGTCTCAGGGGCCTTGGCTGAATCTTACCTGCAGAGTCTCTGCCACGTGAGGTGTTGTGTTTACAGGTTCCAGGGCTAGGACGGGGACGTCCTTGGGGCCGTTGTCCTGCCGGCTCCAGGCCTCTGGTCTTTGAGCCGAGCCGCATTGTCCTTTGCTGCAATCCTGTTGCAGTTCTGTGAGCTTCTTGTTTTCAGCCACTTCTCTCCTTGGTGGCATTCTGCGTCTTTGTATTAGCCCTTGATCGCCGACACCTCCGGGCTGGGAGATGTTTTCCCTCGGGATAAATCGGGAGAGAGATCAAAGAGCTGGTGATGCCCTGAATCTCGGTCCCGTGAGCGTGGTCCTGAGCACCCGGGCGAGCTGTTTCCTGGGCAGCAGCGCCATCCCATGCTGCCCAGGAGGTCTCGGTGGCAGTGCAGCCACCTCGTCCCCTCTCCTCTTTCCATGGCGAGGCTGGGCTGTGACTTGCGGAGGTTCCAGTCCAGGCCCGGCGGAGAGGGGGCTGTCCCGAGTCCACTGCTGCGGGCGGGAGGGTGGGGCCATGCGGCTGGCAGCCCTCTGCTCCCCGTGCACATCCACAGGCTGGGCCGTGTGTGTGCAAGTGAGTGTGAGAGTAATTGTGAGTGTGTGTGTGTATGGGAGTGAGCGTGTGTGTGTGTAATAGTGTGTGTGCATGTGAGTGTAATAGTGTGTAATTGTGTGCATGTGAGTGTGAGAGTAATTCTGAGTGTGTGAGTGTGTATGGGAGTGAGCATGTGTGTGTGTGAGAGTAATAGTGTGTGTGCATGTGAGTGTAATTTGAGTGTGTGTGGGAGAGAGTGTTAGTGCGTGTGAGCACACACTAGCGGGTGTATGTGCGTGAGTGTATATTTGTGTATATGCGAGCTTGTATGTGTCCACTGCGGGGCCCTGCTCACTGGCCTGGACCGTGCTTCATGGCGGTGGCTGGTGGTGTGGCCGGTCTCTGAGTGGTTGCCCTCTGCCCTCTGCCTTCCTCGTCCCTGTCCGGCCGGGCGCAGCTCCCCCGAGGGCGGCTAGATGGCGCCCTGTCCTTCCCTGCGGGCTTCGCTGCCGGCTCGCGTGGACTTTTCCCAGGCTGTTTCATGCTCCTTAGGCTCCACGCCCACCCGGCACTGATCATCCCGGAGGCCCTGGGGAGCTGCCGCAGGACGAGACCAAGGACCCCGCAGGGCAGGCAGGCGGTGGAGATGCCGCTGCTCCTCCGCCCAGCCCAGCGCGGGTGCCCTGGTTTTGGTCAGGGGTCTGCAAGCTGGGGGGACCTTAAGGGAAGAAAGCCCACCTTTTCCTTTAAAAAATAAGAAAGAGAAAGAAAGAAGCCAGTACTGAGTGCCTGCACGCGCTGGCCGAGGGCCGGCCGAGCTCTCAGACATGGCCCTGCAGCGGGCGGTGCGTGTGCCGGGGGCGAGCCCTGATTTCGGGGAGGCTGGTGCGAAAAGCAACTCGGGGAGCGGGGCGCGGAGGCCAGCCAGTCAGGGGTGCGGCTGGGGCGAGGGTGCCGGGAAGGCAGTGGACTGACCTTGAGGGAGTGGAGGTATGAGACCATGCAGCGCAAGGTCCCTGAGAGCCATCCATGGGAGGGCACCCTGGGGATGTGAGGGGCGGCAGCCCCGTCCCCGCGCGACAGGCCAGGACCAGTGCCTGGCTCTGTGCCTCCTGTCGCCAGCACGCAGTGCTCTGCAGGCTGCCGTCCCTGGGGCCAGCCCCTCTGTCATCCCATGCGGCACCCTTAAGAGTCCTTGGGGTGTCCCTAGGGTGCCACCTCTACCCTTCCCTGCAGCCTGATTCCCGAGAGCGCCAGAGAGGCAGTTAGCAGGGCCAGCGCTGGGCACAGTGGCGCATTCTCTCAGAGAGAGAATGCTCTGGAAGGTGCCTTGACCTTGGTTTTGGTTTCTGGTCCTGAGGGGGGTTGGACTGCACGTGGGAAGGGGCTTCGCAGAGGGCGGCTGCATAGGGGTCTAGCTGCAGAGCCCCTGCCTCCTGGCTCCCTGCCCAGCCAGCTCAGCCCAGACGTGGTGCTGGGCACCCTTCCTGCCGTCTCCCCAGGACCGGGCTAGGGATGTTGGCGTTAATGTCTCCCCGCCAGGCCACGGGCCCCATGTGTCCCCAGCACAGAGGGGGCTTGGTGACTGTCAGGAGACCTGGGTGCTGGGATGCAGTGACCCCTCAGCCTCTCAGCCGCAGTGTGCTGGGGCTCCTGTTGTGTGGAGCCAGCGCCATCCCTGGGAGCTGGTGCTGACCGAGCTCCATCGTGGGCCGACGTGGACACCAGCCTGGGGCAGGCGAGGTGCCCTGTCGTCCCTGGGCCAGGGGCTCAGGGAGCCTATCGGCAGCCCCCTGGGAGGGTGGTGCCCTGTTCCCACCCTTCCCTTGGGCCCTGGTAGGGGGACGGTCTCCGGCAGATGGTGCTCACACGTCTGTTTCCCTAATTATACTGCTCTTCTTGCGTCTGCGGTGGCTTAATTGCAGCCGTTTCGGAGTATTTCGGTAGCACTTTTTTTAAAGTGTCGACGTCCTCAGGTTTACAGCGTTTTATGAAGCCTTTCTGGGTCTGTTGCTACTTTGGTAGTGTGATTTGTGTGTCAAAGTGACGTGAACAGCCTGGTGTCGATAAAAGCATGGAATTTGCTTCGAAAGGCCAGCATTATGTGGTGCTTTCAGGCAGCGAGGCTAAGAATATCTGCAGCATTTGAATGCTTCAAAATCCCTTTTGAGATGGGGATTTAAAATAGAACCGGCACTTGAACTCGCCCCCTGACCAGCCTTCCCACGCCCAGCCAGTTAGCAAGGCCAGGAGGGTGGACGGACCTGGGTGTCAGGACAGGGCAGGGCTGGCCTTGCGGGACAGCGACCAGGTCGTGGGGCAGCCCGTGGGCTCGGTGTCTAGAGACTGTGCCCGCAGAACCTGCCATCGCAGGCCAGGCGCCTGCCCTGGGGCCATGGGTGGCGGTGGTTTAGCCCCAGATGACATCTCCACAGCCTGTCCCTCGGCCTTCTGCTGCCTGATTCGGCCCCTGCCTGGTTCGGCCTCGTCAGCTCGCGGGTCCATTATCGGAGACGTCGGCTCCGTGTGGGACACACCCACCCTGTGTTGTTTCACACTGCATCTCGTAGTGCTACACAGTGTTCTGACAGCATCGTCACATGATCACCCACTACCTCCTGTCCTCCCTGCTGCTCCCACGTGTCCCCAGGAAAGAGTTGCAGGCTGGAATCGGAGAGCACTGGGCTCTGGTCGGCCCTCGTCTCCCGGCCACTTCCGGACCATCTGGGGTGTATGTGTACCCCGAAGAAGAGAGCAGAGCGCCTGCCACCTGAGCAGGGTGTCCTGGCACACACTGCCGGTCTCTATGGTTCAGGCCTGCCCCCAGGGTGGGGCAAGGTGCCTGTGGCTCATCCTGTGTGCCTGCTCACTGGGTGAGGGCTGGCCGAGGCTTCAGGGTTCCCTCTGACCCGACCCACAGTGCAGGCTTGGTGGGGAGCGTGAGGCCGGCCTGAGCGGCAGGCTGGGATGCAGGGGCTGAGGACCACTGCGGAGCGCAGAGGCTGACGGTTCCCACCGTGGTGGGCAGCTCGTGTGAGCAGCCAGCAATCG